TACAAGTTACTCACCTCTGTTTGTAATCAGAATTTGTTTCAGGCACTTTTCTCCTTTCGTTATCTGTTAATGCAGTCCCCCATATGTCGTACCAGCAAAGGTCTTCTTGAAACAGTGTCTGGTAGCCCCACTTCTTGAAGGCCCCATACAGCACTTCCACGCCCAAAGGAGCCTTTTTATTGCTTGCAGAGGCAATAACTTCATTGTCATCTGTTAAATTTTATCAATTAGGTTTAAAAAAAATTAAGAGAAAACATAATGTATGTAACCGCTTCCGTTAAAGCTAAATGTTACCGCTTCCTAAAGAAGCTGCGAAATATTTTATGGTTTGATTAAAGCCTCCTTGGTTAGTTCATTTTACGACAGAAAGTTAAAGTTAACGTTTCAAACTAAAAGACAAGTTAGACCGTAATCCTTGATAAGGTAGTCAAGGCCCGCGAACGTTGGTAGGCAACATTTTATTTTGTGATTATGTTAACTCGTAGTTGTGATTCAAAGCGAAACCTATCGCTAGTTTTTTACTTTTCTCGTTTCTTTTCTTGCCGCATGCTCGTTGCCCAATCCGATATTATTCTTAGAGCTATGATCGCATAATACTTAGGTAATTTCTTCACGCAATGATTTCAGTGGACCACTTCGATATAAGAACGCCTTAAAGAAAAGGAAAGGAATGAAGAAAGAAAAGATCCTATATTGGTTTGGTGTTTATCGTGTGCGCGTGTATCAACCCGAAAATCGAGTAGAAATTCTAACTTGGAAAGGAAACATTTAAAATGTACAATGAAATATTAATTAATAGAAGTTTCTTTACAGGTGCCATTCTTAATGAGAGATTTGACACTCATAAACGGACGTTATATTTGCAACTAGCATTGGTCATGTGGTCCACAAGTCTGGGTGAGAGGGCCTCTAAAAAGGACTTTTGTTGATAGCAGTAAGTAAAAATACTCTGAAAACTTGATCAGACATAATCATTGAGTCATTTGAAAGGATGAGCACCAGGACTCGTTTTGAAAATGAGGCCAAGGGCAATTCGGAAATGGGCTATTAATAACAGTGGAGAATTTTCTCAACGCACCTTTCAGGACACCACTGAAGAATGGTCTTAAGTTTTCAAAAGTCTGTTGACCAATGCTTTGCACAAGTTCAAAGTCCAGGAACGTGGCCATGATTGTAGAATCTTCCTTTATCTTCGGCAAAGCCTTTGTAGCTTTTGGCATAATCCGATAAAAGTGTGGTCTTGAGACAGAGTCCAGCATAATAATATTTACATTGATAGCACTTCTACCTTTTGCATTTTCATTTTCCTCAAGGATGGGAGGAAAACTCAAGGCTTGATAAATATATCCACATCTAAGGAACAAGAAAGTAAATCCTTTCTCCAGGTTTGTTTTTACTGCCTCCTGTACTTTATAACTGAGGTTGTCCTTTGGTAAGGTTTCCCAGTCATCAACAGCTTTTCCCAGTTGTGGATTCACAGAAGCCACTTGAATCTCTGAGGACCCACACACCTTTACATCACAAGACACAATATGCTGCATTAACTTAGTTAACTGGTATGAACAGATCTCTGGGTGATGTATATCATCACACTTTCGCTCCTCTGATTGTCCTGGAGATCCATAAAATTTAAGAATTTGTTCATGACCAACTTTGTCTGGCCTGCAAAAGAACAAATTTTCAGTTGAGGTGTGCTGGAAACCATTGTCTTGAAGTTAATTAACATAACCTTGTAGTAAAAAAGAATACTTTCTTGCACTTTCACTTTGGAAGGAAATTGATGTTCAAACTTAATTAAGTGTGTGCTTCGGTAATGTTTCTGAGGCCAGTAACAGCTTTTTCAATTTCAGGGTTAACAGAAGCTATTTGAAGCACAAATAAGACAAAGACCTTGGGGTGACGTGACAGGATCTGTCATCAGACTCCGTTTTTGAATGAACGCACACATGTTTGGTTTATGAGTTTTGCCACGGCTTGACTAAATAAATACCGTAAATCCTCTAATAAGCCCCCCCCCCCCAAGGTTTATTTATTTCAGGTACTTTGGGGAGGTGGCTTATAAGAGGGGGGTATTAATTTAGAACTCAATAAAGAACTCAATCTTATGATCTAACTCCCTCAATGGACCTTGTTTAGCCATGTTATATTTTTAGTATCACTCTGTAATTTCCGTATACCATATTCTATTGATGCCAACATGATAACATCAATCTTTCAATCACCATAATCAAGTTTAAATGACAAACTAAAATTACAGTACTTA